TCGCCCTGCCGGTAATCGAACCCAGGTCTCTCGCTTTCGAGGCGAGCGCTCTAACCACTGAACTACAGGACTCCACTAAATCCAATTACACTCCATTTACATAAAAACAGAATGTTTCTGCACTCTAAAGGAATGTAACAAAATGTCTAAATCCTGACAATTTGAATTAAATGAATCTTATGTTTGTTTCTAAGATGCATCTCCCTTGAGCTTTGGAGTGTTGGATTTGAACAGAGTGGGAGACGAAAACTGTACCTTGAAAGAATATAATATGTTCTATGATCTTCTAGTATAGATGCCAGTTCTTCACAGCGGGCACATCTGTTTGCCAAGGTCTCTCGCATGAGGACCTGGATTAAGCAACTGGTGCTGAGAAAGCCTGGTACGCAGCATTGGACTTGGACCTCAAGAACATCAAAGTGGCTCACAAGCTGTACTGTAAAGGTCCTCCCATCATCACTGAAGGCAGATATCCGTCAGCTCTTGCCAACCTGCGCCTAATACTTCCCAGAATTAGGTAAGCAGGATGTGTCCCTCCAGGGAGAGAGCGCATTCCATCCAACAATCTATCTCCGGGATTTCCATGTGTAGGTGGGATGCATGGAATTCTCAGTTTGATTTGGATACTGTTAAACATGGGGATGGGTTTCTGCATGTGTCAGACATCTGGCTGTCCAAAACAAAAGCCCATACTAAGTGGAATAATGTCTTCAATTTAATTAATATTCACGGCAAATTTCACAAGCAAAGCTTAATTATGAGACCCTAAAACAAGACTTTGGTTAATCCACTGTTGGTCCGCATGCAGTTCTCGGCACACTGTTATTGAGAGGACGTCAAAGCTAATAGAAAGAGTACAGAGTAGGTTCACATGGATTAATATGAAAGATGTTGCAGTAAAATTCCGTTCTACGACTGTTTGTGGGACACTGCTGCGTGCAATTGGCTGCCGCGTTCGCCCACAAATACAACAACAACAACAACAAGATTCCATTTATTGAACGCCTTTCACGTCGGGAGGACGTCCCAAGGCGCTGTACAGTTGGGTCAGGACCCGAGCAGGGGGGAAATGGTCAGGGTGAGGGGAGGGGAGGGAGGGAGCGAGGAGGGGGGAAATGGTCAGGGTGAGGGGAGGGAAGGGAGGGAGGGAGGAGGGGGTAGAGAGTTGAGAGGGGAGCTGAAGGCACGGTCAAAGAGAAAGGTCTTGAGACCGGCCTTGAAGGAGGAAAGGGAGGAGGCGGCGAAGGCACTGGGGGATAGAGTTCCAGAGCCTCGGGGCTGAGAGGCTGAAGGCCCGACCACCAATGGTAGGGCGGTTGGGGCGGGGGATGTGGAGCAGACCGGAGCCAGAGGAACGGAGGGTAGGGCAGGTAGGTAGGGGGATAGTAGGTCAGAGAGGTAGGTGAGGATGAGGATCTTGAATATACAGTCAATTCACTTTACAGCATATTCTGTGAAGCGCTTTGGGATGTCTAGAAGACGTGAAAAGCGCTATATCAAATGCAAGGATTATTATTATTATTATTATAAAGTGGCCCCTCATAAGGCTGTTTTGCTTATAAGTCCTGTGTCCTGTGGTTTGACACACTGCTGGTTTGATGTGCAGACTGGCTGGCTTCCCTTGTCTAACAAATAAGGTCATAAGATCACTGCCGACGTCACTTCCTGTGTAGGTGTCCAGTGATGTTACATGTCCTGTGATAGGTGACGTCACGACACAAATGTACTCTCCAGTGATCAGCCCCAATATAGCACAGGTTGGGATTTTATGAGCCAAATGACCCTCCTGTGTGCTACAAATACCATAGAGGGAATGGTCATTACCATACGCAGTGTCCAGCAGATTAAGCATCACTTCTCCCCTCTCCTGGTGATAATTAAGGAAGGAATTGCCTTTAGAAATACCACAATTTTGACCTGTTTAATTTTATGTCAACCTCATTCTGTGAAGCGCTTTGAGGCATTTCTTCAATGTGAAAAGTACTGTACGGTTCTGAGCTGTTGTGGTGTGTGGCTGTCAAACAAATGAAAAGATTTGCAGCAAAACAGTTTTCAAGCGTGACGATGACCCTTTTCATTTATTCGGATCCAAGGTTACACCGTATTTCTGCAGGAGCTGAGGAGCTGATCATTAAATGGTGTCATTATCACAAAATTACGGGAAACATCGGTTTTAGTTTCATTAACGGGCAGATTATTCTGAGAGCAGTGTTGGAGCAATTGCTATACGGGAGTGAATCGAAAAGGCACTCATCTTATCAATGGGTTCAAGTGACGTTATAAACAGTGAGGTTGCCAGATGTTCAAATCCATCAGTATGACTACAGCTTTTATTTTGTTTTGCCAACAAAATATACAGTCAAATACTTTTACAATGTGAAGCGCTTTGAGATGTCTCAACAACATGATAAAGCGCTACATCAAATGCAAGGATTATTATTATTATTATTACAACATTGGGGTTACTTGTCTGTCGCCTTTACAGAGTAAAAAAAATAATCCTTGCATTTGATATACCGCCTTATCATGTCTTCGAGATGTCTCAAAACACTTCACAGGATATACTGTAAAGTGAATTGACTGTATATATTGTGGGCAAGGTGAAATGGTATAATGTCTTTTCACTTTGCCTGGTGCATTCAAACTGCCATGGAGCCCTCTGCCACTGTACATATCTGCTCAATTGAAGAAAGCAAATTTAATTTAATTTCAAGTGAACATGCTTGAAATTGATATCTTGGTCTGCTCAATAGGTTGAGCCCTATACTTGGGGGCCCAAAGGTTCTTGGTTTGAACGGTTCAATCAACAACAACAAGATTACATTTGTATAGCGACTTTCACGTCGGGAGGACATCCCAAGGCCCTGGACAGAGTACAGCATTTCAAACTCTTTCAGACTACAGGTATCAAACTCTTCACCCTTTCCTGGGCAATGAAATGAGTACAGTACTTCTCAAAAGTCCTCTTTAGCAGGGAGATAAGAGTGGATAAGTGATTGTCTGGCACATCAGTGAGACCTGGAGGTCTTGACATGTTCACAACTCAAAGCCCTAATGGGTGGGGGTGTTGGGATTCTAGCTTTCAAAGTATTGTGAGATTTTATCAGAGCTTTGTATGAAAAAACTGCTCACTAAGTAATATGTGATCTCAAGATGCCTCGAGAGGTTCAGATGAAATATCTTGATATCTTGCAATAATCCTTGCATTTGCATTTTGATAATGCATTTGCAATGCATTTTAACCCATTTGATCTCATCCTTTCAGAACACTCACTCTACCATTATCTTAAAATTAGAGCTTGGCCATTTAGAAGTGAAATCAGGAAACATTTTTCCACATAAAGGATAGTGGAAATCTGGAACACTCTCCCCAAAAGGCTATGGATGATGTATCCATTCACATTTATATGATTGAGGTCGATAGATTTTTGTTAGGTAAAGGTATCAAGGGATATAAAGCAAAGGTGGGTAATTGGAGTTGAGGGACAGATTAGCCATGATTTTATAGAATGGTGGAACAGGCTCTAGGGGCTGAATGGTCTACTCCTGTTCCTATGCTCCCATGTGTCAGACATCCAAATGACTAAAAACAATTATGATCTTAAGGTGCTTTTGCCAATGAACATCTATTGTAATCTTGTGACAAGGTAAGCAGCACACAATCCAATAAGTTCTTTCACAGCAGAAATGTTTCTTTTTATGCATTCTTCGTAGAACACTGGTGACAGAATTATAATTTTCTCTCTTCTTCAACAAAAAACAAGTTTGCAAATGACTTTCTTACATAGACAGTGCTCTCTTAATTAGGATTCTCTGTCACACAATTCCCTGCAGATTCTTAATTGGACCAGAGGATTGCTCAGAAATGTAAAAATGGTCTCCATGCATGTAGCTTTGAACTTGTCATTTGTTAAACAGCAGCAATAACAGAAATCAGGAGATACATTGTGCGGAAGAGGGGTTCTGCTCCATAAATCTGCTCAAATGTGCTATCTGAATATTCATTCAGTATGAATAAGAGCTAATCAGGTATGTGATGAACTCGCGATGAACCTGGTTTTGAGCACTGAAATCAGATCATAAATGCAAATCTCACTTATCTTCATGGTATATTACTTTACAAATGACAACACTGCAACCTTTATAATGGAGTCCCGTAGCGTAGTGATTAGCATGCTCGCCTCGCAAGCGAGAGGACCCAGGTTTGTTTTCCGGGTGGGGCAAACCTTAGACAAATTTCCTTACTCCACACGCCCGATTAGGCAGATGTTAAAGATCAGTTTAATGCCTCTGACATTGAAAAGCGTGGCACCTCTGACAATGCATGACATCCCTAGCACTGCATTAGAGTATCAGCATTAGACTATATGAGTTCCAAGTTCTGAGGCATAAACCCACATTCTTCTGACTCAGAGGCAAGAGTGCTACCAATTGATCCAGGCTGATACACGCAATACGTACATTGTTAGGAAACAGTGCAAAACTGATGCCTCCTCACCCAGTTTCCGTAAAAAGAAAACCACAAGTACATGAGGCCAACTGGGGAAAATTATGGGAAAAACTTCTCCTAAGCTGCCACATTGGACATCAAGAAGCCAGGAATCCAACCTTGGTTTCCTTATAAAAGGAATCTTTTTCAAAGTCATTGCACATTAGACCCCAGAACTCTAGTTTTTAATAAACGCTGACTTTGAAAGAGATACTTTTGAGCCATTTGGGGCACACTCTGGGGTCCCCAAGCCTTGGCTCTTGCCAACCTGAGCCTAATACATTCCAGAATTAGGTAAGCAGGATGTGCCCCTCCAGGGAGAGAGTGCGCAGTCCATTCCAACAATCCTATCTCTGCAATTTCCATGTGTAGGTGCATGGAATTCTCAGTTTGGTTCGGATACCCTTAAGCATGGTGATGGGTTGCCGCATGAGTCAGACAATCGGCTGACTTAAAAAAAAAGATTTGTGCACTGAAATGTCTGAATAAACTGGACAGCTGAAAAACTTACCCTTATCATCAGCACTGCTTTCCTGATGTCACGCACGCCGTCGTAAACTAAACGAGAAGCATCAATGAACTCATTCTCCTCGAAAGCCTGTGGCGGGTTGGCACTGAGTGCTTCGATCGCAACTTCCACTTGTTCAGCAAAACGAGGCATAACTGGACAGGAGGAAGAAAGGTGAGGCATTAGAGGTTTATTCTCCAGTTCCCTTTCCTGCCTGAAGGTACGGCCACATAATATAAGAATCTTTATGTTTGATAGAGTGCCTACAATGTTGAAACGTCTCAAAGCACTTCACAAGGACGTGTTGTCAAATGCATTGACTTTGTAGCTCTACGTGAGACCTTGCTGTATGCAAAGTGGCTTCAAATATGGCAGCCATTTTGCACATAGGAAAATCCTGTAAACAACTACAATATCAATGAGCATTTTATCTGGAGAATTGTTGGACAAGATTGCAAGAAAGGTTTGGCTGAAGAAGAACTTTCAATCCATTTAGGAATACAGGAAAATAGAAGTAGAAGGAGGCCATTCAACTACTGAGCCTGTTCCACCAGTTTATTAGACAACTTAGTTTATTAATCAACAACTTGCATTTATATAGCATCCCTCACATAGTGTAGCATTCCAGAGCACTTGCCAGTAGCGGAGCACAATGCCGAGCCGGGGGGAGAGGAGAGGTGATCTTAACCGCGGTCGAAGAGGAAGATCTTCAAACCCCACCTGAAAATGGGGAAGGAGGGGACAAGGTGGAGAGATAGAGGGAGGGTGTTCCAGAGTTTGGGCTGAATATGGGGCCACCAATGGTGGAACGGAGGGCACGAGGGACAAGCAGAAGACCGGAGCCAGTCAAATGGAGGCAACAGGTAGTGTGTTGGGGAGTAAGCAGATCAGAGAAGTAGGAGGTGCCTGGGTATGAAGGGATTTGTAGACGATTGTGAGGATCTCAAAATCAATTCGTTCGGTGATAGGGAGCCAGTGGAGGTTGTCTAGAGCTGGTATGATGGGGATACAGTCTCCCCCAGACTTCCTGACTTGTTAGATCACCTCTCTGTGTGAAGAACTGTTTCCCATAATCAAAAATCCATTGACAGCCTGAGTGTACAGACAGACCATCTTTTTAAAATGTAAGATTGGGCCGAATTTTGGAAAAATCGTAAATTCACTTTTAATTTGAGAGACCTGATCAATAATAGATACTCTTTGCATTTAATATAGCACCTTATCATGTTGTTAAGATGTTTCAAAGCACTTTACAGAATATTCTATAAAGTGAATTGACTATATATTTTGTGTATGAAATGTTTTAATAATTTAATAATAATAAACATAACTCTTTTTATGAGAAATTCTTGACCAAATGTTTTCTCTGAAAGCTGACCTTTTGGAGCTCTGAATTTATAACCTCTTATCCTTCTGCTTATAGTGTTTCTTAAGGTATTTATCTGGTTTTACATTCTCTTTCCAGTTAAGCATCTTATACAGCTCTATAAACTCCCCTCTAAGACACGTCTGTTCAGGGTTGTCAAGGCTTATCTTAGTTGTTCCTCACAGCTCATCCTTCTAACACTATGGATCAGAGGCCTGAAATTCCAACTAATCTAAGATGGTAAAGCTACATTATCTGAAAAATTAAGAATGCACAAAATTGTGGTAAATTCTAAAATCAGTCATAATTAGAGCACTCGCCTCACATGCAAGAAGACCTGGGTTCAATTCACGGGCAGAGCCAAACGTTTGGCAAGTTTCCTTACTCCACACACCTCTGTTTACCAAGCAGTATGTAGGAACCCGGGTATTAGTCGATCAGCAGATCGCTTATCTTGGGGAATAATCCCTTCAAAAAAAATGTGGTCACTCAATCCACAACTGTTTGTGGGACACTCCTGTGTGCAATTGGCTGCCACGTTTCGCCCACAAAATACACAGTCAATCCACTTTACAGTATATCCTGTGAAGCATTCTGAGACGTCTCGACAACATGCTAAGGCGCTGTATCAAATTCAACAATAATGATTAAGACTGGATTCAAGCACTTTTCCATTGCTCCGTGTGACCTTAAATTTCAAGACAAAATGGTTTTACAGGTTTAGAATAGATACAATTTCAAGCCTCTCAGTTTTGTTCCCTCTCTGCTGTCCAGACTTATCACATTCTCACCCCAGTGCACTGTAGATTGGACACTGACACTCAGTTTCTGCAGATGTTCTATTGAGTGAGGAAATGAAAATTGCTCTGGCACATTCATCGAACTCTCAAAGACAAGCAGGACTCTATCTGCAGCAGATGTTTTTTGAATGAGTATTGTTCGTCTGGATGATAAAAGATGTGGGTGGACACATAGGCATTTGAAAGTGAACATTAAGGTCTGAGGAAGACGGTTAATTGTTTTTTCCATTTCAAACCTCATCTAATTGCACTGGGTTCCAATTTGAGTTTGACCAAGTGAATTCTTGTGGCTATGTTTAGTTTGTTCTGACAATTAGCCTGCACTATTGAAGGCCATCACAAATGAGAGGGGTTTGGGCGTGCAAAGGGTTAATAGCAGGCAGTGGTCCCTTGCTGGGATGTCTGATTCACTTGACTGAGATTTCAATGCTTTAATAACAGCACAATAATGCCAATCTGCTGGTTATCGGTCAGTGCTCTTACTCTCAGTTAGCAATTTGTGGGTTCAAGCTCCACGTCAGGATTAGACAGCTTCATCGAGGCTGACACTCTTGTGTAGTGCTGGGGGAGCACTGCATTGTCCGAGGTGCTGTCCTCTAGCTGAAATGTCAGCCATGCTGTCAGCCACTATGCCCCTCTATCTTTGCATGAAGTAAGTTCCTCCTAAATTCTCTTTTAGATCTCCTGGTCTCTATACTATACTTGTGTCCCCTGGTTACGGATTCCCCAAAGAAAGGAACCAGCCTATTTATGTTAAAAATCAGCCTATTTATGGTTAAAAATAAAAGCGAGAGGAACCAGTTTTGATTCCCGGGTAAAGCAAAACCTTAGGCAAGTTTCCTTATTCCTTTGTTTACCTTGCAATAAGTAGAAACCCCGTTGTCAATCGATTGGCAGATCAGTTTCTGGGGATAATAATCCCTCCAAAAAAAAAATGTGCTCATTCAATCCGCTTATGGATTATAACAGTTTATGGGACACTGCTGTTTGCAATTGGAGTTTCATCCACAAAATACACAGTCAATCCACTTTACTGTATATTCTGTGAAGCGCTTTGAGACGTCTCAACTACGTGATACGGCATTATATCAAATGCAAGAAGTATTGTTATGATTATCCCTCTGTTTTTGTTGTGGGACATAGGTGTGCACTACAGTTGTTGGCACAACTTGTCCTCCTTGGAGATACGCTGCCCTCTGATATAAAAGGTTGGCTTCTTTCAATCATAATTAGACTGAGGTTCAGATTCCATGGGCTATCATACTTTTGGTTTAATGTGGGTGGATTATGAAAGCCATGAAAAAAAATTCAAGATTAGAAAAACATACAGCTTTACAAATCCTGGGCGGAAATTTGTAAAGATTTGATGTACATGTATTTGGTAATGTCAAAAATGTCAATCCCTCAGTACTTGTATAACAATGAAAATCCTTGCATTTTAATATCATGCCAATACCATCCAAATATATATATAAACAAAATGTACAGTCAATTCACTTTACAGTATAATCCTGTGAAGCGCTCTGAGACCTCTCAATGATGTGATAAGGCGCTATATCAAATGCAAGGATGATCATTATTATTATTATTAAATATCTCAAAGAGCTGAATGGACAAGTGATGATAAATATAGTAACAATAATAATAATCCTTGCATTTGATATAGCGCTTTATCACGTCTTATCACTGAGTCAGCACAGTGCGCAAATTGGCTTGTGCATTGTCTACAAATATACGTTTTACAGAAATTCTGTGAATCTTTTTTAGACATTATCAGAACTATTATATGTCAACTGCAAGGATTCTTATTAATACCTTTGCTCGAGGTGAGAATGTTACCAACTGAACCAAGCAGACACCTTTCAGCAATGATTTTGTCCTTTCACCTCAAATGTAAGTCTATCCCCCTCTTCCCGAGTTTATTTTGCTAACTAAGCCTGCTGCACAATAAACCAGTTGAGATCCATTACACCCAATGAACGGTGCGTAGTTAACCTTGTCAAGTGACACATCATTCCATCCATTATCCGCATCTGGTTAGTTGACTCCAAGCACTTTGACGTGGTAAAGGCAGCATTGAATCTCTGCTTGAATCCAAGGGCTTTTACAGAAAATGAGGAGTGTGAAAAGATGATAAAGATTTTAAACTCATGCTGTACATTTCATTCTTGATTGTTGCCTTAATTCTAACTTTGACATTCTGATGTTTTCAAGGAAGATATTCATCTGCTCGCACATTGACACTTTTACGATCAAAGACTCACTTAAAGAGGAAAGTCAATTCTACAGGGAGCACTTCTCATTCAAAGCAGCCTCACTAGATAAGGAGAAGAAAATAACACTGCATGAGGAGGAACCCTGGATTTATACAACTGCAGTACTCTCTCCAGTGCTTGACCGCTCAGTTGATGTGTTATGAATCCTGTAGAGTATTGGGTAGAGCACTCACCTCGTAAGCGAGAGGACCCGGGTTTGATTCCCGAGCAGGGCGAAACCTTAGGCAAGTTTCCTTCCTCAATATTTCTCTGTTTACCTAGCAGTAAGTAGGGACCCAGTTGTTAGTCAATTGGCGGATCACTTTCCAGGGGTAATAGTCTCTTCAAATAAAATTTGGTCACTCAATCCACAATTGATTGTGGGACCCTGCTGTCCGCATTTGGCTGCCACATTTCGCCCATAAAATTTAGTACACTCACTTTACAGTATATTCTGTTAAGCGCTTTGAGACATCTCAATGATGTGATGATGTGCAAGGATTATCATTATTATTATTATGGAGAAGAGCTGGTGTGTCTCCTTTGAGCTTATTGCAATGGGGGAACCTGACAGTAATCCAAAACCTGAACCCCCCCCAAATGAGGCGTGAAGAAACCTGTAACAGAAATGGGAGGAGGGGAGGATTTGCGAACAGAATTTGACAACTAACACCAGGTACACAATTTGTGGTCCATTTTATCTTGTGCTCAATGATCAGTTTGGGAACTGAACA